GGGAATRTGCCTTTATGATTTAGACAATGAAAAGAAAAGGATTTTGGTTTCTCAAACCTGCCTAACAAGGTTCTTGGTTGCCTGGAATTGCTCTGGAGATGCTGGAATTGCAGTGAGATCAGGAGCACAATGAGAGCCTCTGGTGAAACGGATTAAACTCAGGAATAAACACTGACATAGATATTTGCTTTTACTCTTAGTTTGCTTTCAAGGTACACTTTCAAAGCAGTATCAGATGTGAGGATAGGAACTGAATTCAAGGTGTTTGTACCTGGTGTTTAAGTTGTGAAAATCTGGCTCTGAAATGTTGAGTGTTTCAGGTGGGAGAGGGAATAAGTGCTCAGGAGGATAAACATGGACTAAACCAGCAGTTTAAAAATGCCTATTTCTCAAAGGCAGACTGGGGAGCCAAGCTGAACAGGCAGAAGAGGCAAATTCCCTGGAGAGAACATGAAGGAAAATCAGGAAAATTCCCAGTGGAGCCTCTTTGTTTCTGTTGCCAGCAGTTATCACCTCCCTGCAAAAGGTAAAAAACCCTGAGCATCTTTTTCCCTAACTCAAAAACCTACATGTGAGGACAGCCAAACTCTGCCACCCTGGAAACAAAGGGATAAGAAAGGTTTATCCAGGATGAGCCCTACAATGGCCAGGATCATTCTTTTTTTCTGTTTTCATCCTTGGGCAGCCGCATGGCAGGGAAGGGGAGATGAAATCACAGGTGAGTGATGCAAAGCTGGCCAGAGGACAGCTTAGTGTGGATGTGGGATAGCTTTTTTTTTTTTTTTTTTTTTTTTTTTTTTTTTTTTTTTTTTTTTTTTTTTTTTTAATAAAGCAGCCAAGGTGGCCATTCTGCAGATTTTAATAAAGCAGCCAAGGTGGCCATTCTGCAGAAAACTGGCAGTGTCTCAACAACCATTTAAGAATCCTCTGTTGATAATTAAACAGAGAGGATGTAACTGAGCAAAAATCCAACCTTTGTCCCCAGCCTTTCCTCCCCAGGCAAAGTCATTGTMATTTCTTTTGTGCCAGAAATGAAYAAGTAGAATTTCTGCTTTGTCTTCAGTAATGTGCAAATTTTTAATGAAAATCGTCTTTAAAATAAGCTTTAGGAGGAAATKATGTAGGAACGTGCCTGACAAATTTCTAGATATGCATAAAATGAGGCTGTGGAAGACAAGCTTAACTTTCATCTGTGGTATGGGCTGTAATTTTGAAAACCCTAATCCAACTGTAACTGCTAAATGAACTCCTAATTTGCTCTTCATTTCTGGTTTGGTTTATTTAGATGAGAAAATGTCGATATTTTTGGCTGCTCTTTGTCGCATTTTTTTTTTTACTTAAGTGGTTTTGTAAGTCTCAGTTAAATGGAAACCATATTTCTTAGAACCTTGCAGACTTTTCTGTTAYTCTGTCAAAGTCAGAGCTGAAAAGGGATTTCTGCAGATAGAGGTCACTAGGACCCCCATTCTAGTGCAATTAAAAGTAACTTTTAAAATTAACCGTAAAATTTGGAATATGTAGAAAAATTGAGCCCGTTATCCTTTTTTTTTTTTTTTTAATGCTTTGGAGCATTTGTATTTCAATTGAATATGCCCTCCACGAACTTGTTCCAACAGATTATTTTAAGGTTATGTCAAGACAAAAAAGGGGCTTTTTTTTTGGTCTTGCTGCTCTCCAGTGCAAAAAGATTTTGCTCCCAATGGCTCCTGTGGCACTTGAGTGGTGAAGCTTCCAGAACTGCAGCTCTGTCTGTGGCATTAAATGCTGTGAAGCGTTTTTATTGCTGTTTTTTTGGTCAAGTTCTCAGTTCTGATCAGGGTTTTACCATGAGTTGTAAGGAGCCTGCTCCTATGCAGCCTTTGCTCCCAGGCTTTCCTCTCAGTATTTGTTTCTTTTAATAAAGGGTTTGCTTTAATTGTTTCTGCTCTAGCTAAACATTAAAAAAAACCCCAAAAACAAAAACAAAACAAAAAAAACTCACAGGAAAAAAAACAAACAAAAAACCCAACCAACCAAACAAACAAAAAAAACAACAAAAAAAAATCCCTGTTGAAAGCTGGTTGTTTCTGAGTTAAAATCCTAAAATCCACAAATGATAGATGTAACATACCCAATACTAATGCCAGGTGAGTGCCTTCTGGTGTGCCATTGACTTCAGCTTTGGGTCACTGAAAACAACAGCCAGTGCATTTTAATTCCATTTGATTGTGCCATAATCCCATGGATGGGAGTAATGAGCRCAGAAAGCCAATTTGCTAAAGAGCCCAAATTGATCCAAGCTGCATTGCTCAGCAGCAAACTGCTGTCAGCAAAATAATTGAGCCCTGCGAGTGTCAAAGCTTGTTTTGAAYGCTATGGGAGTGATGGATGGTGCAAAGGTTGGTGATGCTGCACCTTTCCCTGCCACCTTCCAGGGAGGGCATTTTTTTGTACCACCACAGCCTTCTCCCAGAGCTTCTCTTCAGGCTCTGGCAGSCTCATTCTATACCTAGTGTATGTATATATATATACATATATATATATACCTAGTATCAGTGTTTAAGTATGAAATATGACTTCATATCAGCTCTGACAGCTGTAGCTTCCAATTATAAACTGTGTCTAATTCCACACCATCTTACTGTCCGTTCCATACCTGTATTTATGTTGCACATTGCTGTAGAGACTAAGCCAGCTCAGCTGACACTGGAATTTTTAGCTTTCCAGTGCTCGCTGCAGCCTCAGCTCTGCACGGACAACATGAATCCTCAGGGCTCTCCTTACTCAGTTTTTCCCTTCCAGCCCCTCTTTGCTCTTGCCAGGCGTGAACTCTGGAGAAATGGAGGGATCATAGGGATGAGGAAGAAGGCTGAACTCTTCCTTCTTACCTGCCCTACTCTCCTCTAATGTGATTTTATACTGTAAAAATCTGATTCCTTAATACATGAGTTTCTCATTTTCATAGAACAAAATTTGTCCCTCCTTCCCTGGTCACAATAGAGGTTTGTGCACCTTCTCCAGGGAAAGGCTATAACAAAAATTATTTACGTATTACTTCTGTTCCGCTCTGSTTATTTAGCTATGCAGATTACAAACTAATGAAAAAAAAACCCAAAAAAGCTGAAACAAGATTTCCCCCCCACACACCTACGTGCCTAAAAACATTTGCAGAGAAAGGTATTCTTGGAGCAGTCTTAACACATGGCAAGGGAATGCTTTCCAAAATGCAATGACAGCTGCCTGTTTATTGTCAGGCACTTGTGAGGTGTGAATTGATCAAATGCACTGAATAAAAAGCAGCCCTTGATCTCTGATTTCTGCTCCAGAACCCACATTTGTTTTCTTTTCCCCATCTCCCAGAGAGTTATCCTGAAGTTAGCCTCTCCTCTCCTCTCCTCTCCTCTCCTCTCCTCTCCTCTCCTCTCCTCTCCTCTCCTCTCCTC